TTGAGTCCAGAATGAGTCCAGAGTGAGTCCAGATTGAGTCCAGAATGAGTCCAGAGTGAGTCCAGAATGAGTCCAGAGTGAGTCCAGAGTGGGTTCAGATTGAGTCCAGAATGAGATCTGGAGGAAACAGCCTGACATTACGGCTATAAACGCTCTTGAAATTACAAATCTACTCATAGAATTAGACTTACTGCAAGCAAAACCTCCATAACACTGGAAATTAAACAGTTTAAAATGATTGGACATTGATATCAGTGCATTATTTATAGTATTTAGAAATAAAGTTGGTCTATAAATGATATCCCTGGTAACTCTGACGGACATTCTGTCATTCTGGAAATAGAAATATTTGCTCATCTTGTTTGGTCTGAGGAATATAAATATATACTGTAAATCCACAGACAGAGCTTTAACTCGTAATATAAAAGTAGCACAAATACCTGAATTATTAATAGGGTGAGTAGATGTACTGCCATGTCAGTCAAAACAGAGATTATGTCCTTATCTCTTTATGTGTTTGAGTGAGATTTTTACCCAAAGATCAAACTGTTGTCTGAAAATAACGATAGAGTCAAAGGTTTATTATGTATTTGATATAATTATGGTGTTTTGCAGGCGGATGTTGATAAAGCGGTGCAGGCTGCTCGCCTCGCCTTCTCTTTGGGCTCCGTTTGGAGAAAGATGGATGCGTCTGAGCGCGGACGCCTGCTGGCCAAACTGGCCGACTTGGTGGAGCGAGACAGCGTCTATCTAGCAGTAAGTGAATGAAGATTTAGCTTTTAAACTAATCCATGATCTGGTGCAAGAGTTTATTTAACCCATCAGCTTGTTTCTTCCAGTTTCTTCCCCCTAACTTATCCGGTGTGTTTTATTTCCTCCTGCAAATCTGCCTCAGTCTCCTTTTGCAAATACAAATATTTGCCTTGCCTTAAAGAGAACTGAGGGGCTGTATTTGTAGTTTAATGTTATCTTGGTGTCACTTTTCACCCGTGGGTGAGTGTAAAGGATGAACTGGTTCAGAATTATGTGAAGATCACAAGGTTATATCACATTTTTCCCAAAATGTCTCCCTCTTCTTCTCCTCCCAGACTATTGAGTCGCTGAACAGTGGGAAGCCTTTCCTGCCCACCCTGTTTGTGGATCTCCAGGCAACGATAAAGACTCTCAGATACTTCGCTGGATACGCAGACAAGATCCACGGGACCTCCATCCCGATGGGTGAGAGCTTCCTCTGAGCCACTGCAGCAGTCTTAATGAAGTCAGTCTGGTGAAAAATGTGATTTTAGAGATGAACATGGTGGGTTTATTGGGAGTGCGATTAAAACTGTAGCTTATTTTATTGTTTTTTCCAGTGGCCATAATGCTCTTCTGTAAAGTTCCCTTATGTGTACTATTTAAAAAATAATAATTTCATGACCTTGAGAAACTACATCCAACACAAAAACATAAAAATCTGATGTTGGTCACAATTTCTTTTATAATTAAAATAAAATGTTTTTTTTATGTTATTGTCTTAACCCTTTCATGCATAGTGGTCACTACAGTGGGCAGCTGTCTAAAAGCCATTTTCTTGTGCTTCTTGTGGATTTTTATGTTAAAATGCACAGAGACCACTGAAGTGGATACTAATGCATCATAAAATACACTATCAACAACTGGCCATCAGCTGCAAATGCAAGAAATTATTTTTGTTAAATCCAATATGGCCGACAGACTAAAAGCATGCCGACTGACCCGGTCCCTCCTTCTACTGTCCACGACTCGTGCAGGTAAAAAAAATATTGTGACATCAGATAACCCCTAAAGATCAGTACTACTGATGTATTTTGTCAAATAACAACTTTGTATTTGGAGAAAATTACAAAAAAATAAAAAATAAAAATATTTTTTTTTACAAATTTTTTTCCTACTTTTTTTATGCCTTAAGAAAAATAAAAAGTAAAAATTAGAAAAAAATCTTGACATAAAGGATCATAATTCATGCATGAAAGGGTTAAGTCACCAATTCATATTAATCACTCTTAAAATATGGTCAGATGGCATCCATGAGTTTATTTGTGAAGTTAAAGCAGATTCAAGCAGATAGTATATCAAATTTATACAGACTAATGAAAATATAGCAAAATGAAACAATGAATTTGCCACTTAACCTCTGACGGTTTTAAATCTCAGCAGCTGTTTACTATAAAACTGCAGCATTAGATTGTGCAACAGCTGGCGTTCTCATGCTTGGTAAAGAAAGACAACAAATTGGTGCATAATCCAAACCCTTGTTATCCATTCACCGTTCTAGGGTTGCAGCCACCGGTTTCGTCCCCCTGACACAGTTAAATTTGCCGTTTGAAGAGGCCTGCTGTCGATTTCAACAGGAAGGAGAGAAAAGAATGAGAGCGAGGACATGAGAAACCTGTTGATACCACCGCATTGTTCCCCTCAAAGCTCCTGTTATTCAGCGCTGCCAGAGCCGCCGCGCGTTTTCCCAGGGCTGCGCTCCGAGCTCCGCTCCTCTTGTGGGCTTTCACCTTAAATAAGCTGGGATATTCCTGTAGCCTGCAAGATGTAAGGAGCCGTGTTTGTTCACCTGTCAGGATACGGTGCAGTACACCCACCATCAACAGCCCCCTCTGTTTGTCTGGCATGTTAAGCCGGGCTTGTGGTATTAAATTTGTATCACAGGCAGCGTGACATGAATAGGGAGTGTCATTATGTAGAGCACCTTTGGCTACACAGTTTGGTATCGTTTACGTTGCTCGTTCCAAATTGAAATCCAAGTCGATTGTCGGCGTCACAGTTTCACATGAGCCTCGCAGACACTCGAGTTTCTGCTGAAAATCTCAGCAAGCAGCTTTAAACGGTCCAGAATGAAATGAAACGATGAGCATATGGGAAGTTTCTCTGCTGTTTACAAGCTTCTACTGTTTCCCACAAAAAGAAGAGAGAGTATTTGGCTTGTCATCGTCCTCTGATCGCTCTGTCCAAATGCAACATTAGGCAATAATCAGCTGACCGCTGTGGTAATAAATTCATACACACATTTCTCAACATGAATTGTTTTTGTGGAGCGTGAACAAGCATGGCACACCCTCCGTAACAACCTCCTCTAACTCAACTAATGCAAGAGGAATGAGCGAACCTTTCCAGCATAACACCCATCTGTATGACCTAAAACACACACACACACACACACACACACGCATACACACACACACACACACACACACACACAC